CACAGATCGAAGTTGGCACATTTGGGAGCTTGGCATTTTTCGCATCGAAATACTTTAAAATACGGGTTGGAAATGGTATTATTTTCTTTCCTATCCATTTGGCCATCTAATTGTCGTTTATCGCCATATACTATAAATTGCAAAAGTGTTATCTGGTGTTTGCTGTCGGCGGTAAGCAAGAACGTGTTCCAGAGATATGACAGAACGACACCTGAGCTGTTTGGTCAACAACTTATCTTTGTTTCGAAGTAAGGAACGTAACGTCTTTTACATATAGTCATTAACAGTTCATAAAGTACCTCTTGAAATGGTATTAAATTCACAGATAGCATTGATCGAAAAGCTTCAGTGTACATTTAGTTACAGAGAGTGCTTATGCGTTGCGTTTCAGGACTGCAATGATGGGCTGACATTAAAATTTAATAAACGGAAATCGGAAACTATAGTGATTGTAACCAGATGACACATGTATATATGGATCATAATGATCAACGGACAAAACGCGGTGATGGGAGGTAGCACGAACAAGCCAGCTTACACGTTAAGTCGTTATATAACGCCAATGGCGATTGTCGATGCTTCATAAAGTTTTATCAGATACATATATTGTCCAAACTGGGAAGCGACTCTTAGGAAATCTTCGAGTGAGTGAGTGAGTGAGTGAAGATTTAAAGTCACATCAGCAATATTTCAGCCATATCGTGATATCGTGATTTCAGCCATAACAAGTAATAATTTTAGAATAATAAAGGTAAATTTTCAAAATAAAACTTTCAGCGAATGACTGTAAAACCAACTAGAATATCACAGATATGAATATAAAACTAGTAAATAACTTTAAAACAGCTTAATAACAGAAGACAATACAATTTAAAAACAGGCTATATGACTATATATTGCCAACAACTGAAGGTAGATCACCATACTAGGGACCATGGGGACTTACAGTATATTTGCTTCCTGTATGGACCCTAGCTGGATTTACACCATCCCTTCAGATGTTAGCAATTTTTGACAATCTAGCCATAAATTAAAAAAACATATACGCTGCAGTTAAAATTAGTAGAATGTTTCAATTTACTAGAAATGTTTTGGGACTTATGTGCCCTCTCCGGAGGACAATATTTTTACAATACTTTAACCCCCTTCGAGGATACAGCCACTAACTAATATCAGTTGATAATCTAAACTACCAATTATAAAACATCTATTTACAAAACACATGTCAACAGTTTTGCAACAATTCCATTTCTTTAACAAAAACAATAATTAAATGACAATTTACAGTCGTAAAAGATCCTTAGAAGCTTTTACATTGAATTATTTATTACTTGTGATGGAAAAATGAAATCGTTCTAGTCGAGGTACGATACAGTGATATCTCTGGGACCGCATTGGAGTGTTGCCATCTGACCACAGAGACTGCACTTTCTGCATGAATTGACTCATATTCAGGGCATTTCAGAAAATGACATTTAAAGGGTCAGCTCATTGTGTGTGCTTGTTAATATCCTCAGTGTATGACAGAGTTAAGGGAGGTTGGAGTGAGTATGGTTTTAGCAATATTCCAGCAATATCACGGCGGGGGACACCAGTAATGGGCTTCACACATATGCATGGTACCTGTGTGGGGAATCGAACCCGGTTCTTCAGCTTGAAAAGCGGACGCTTTAACCATTAGGCTACCCACCGACCCGGATTTAAGGGTCTCGCTCTGCATCTGTCCACTTACTAGACTCGTGTTCATTTTTCTTCAACACCGAAACATATCGATATCATATGAACATATTGTCACGAGGCAGTCAGATCTCGACCCATAGACTGCGGACATAATATCCTTTCACGAATGAATTCACATTTGTTGCACGTTTTTCCATTATTAGTGTATAAGTCTGAAACTTTTGTTCGAGACTCCAGGAAGAAGATATAATTTACTTCATCAATACATATATGGCTAACGACTTTAAAGTCAATAGGGTTTAATGCAAATACAGTAGCTGAAGGCAGGTCACGAACGTGCGGAATGAGAGTCATAAAGTATTAAAAAGTTATGATTATTCGAGCAATACAAAAATGTAACTTTAAACGAAAAAAAACCCACATTCCCTGAAAATCAGCAGAAATGATAAAGGTCATTCAAAGATAGCTCCCTGGAGATAAGGTAGAGGAGGCGATATAAACGTATGACATTACTGTGTGTTCCAATTGTGAATTGCTGGGGAGTCGTCGGTAGAGATACTGGGGGGTGGGACACCTACCAGCTCAAGTTCGATCAGATTGTTATGTGAACATAATAACCCTTAACAAACAATATATAGAGATTACCATCCCGTCTTGTATTTAGTTAACCCATTCAACATCGTAGGCCGGAAAACCGGCCAAGACGTGACCAGTCCCCAGACACCGTAGGCCGGAAAACCGGCCAGGCAGTAGTCGCATCAAAATGACATATAATTTTAGGACTGACTGACTGAGTTTGGTTTTACGCCGCTTTTAGCAATATTCCAGCAACATCACGGCGGGGGACACCAGAAATGGGCTTCACATATTGTGCCCATGTGGGGATTCGAACCCGGGTCTTCGGCGTGACGAGCCAACGCTTTAACCATTAGGCTACCCCACCGCCCCTATAACTTTAGGAACCTAACTAACATATGATTCATTTATCAAATCTGTCACTTTTCATAAGCCTGAAAACACTTATTACATTTCAAATGGCCATATATAATCGACAGAATTAGAATTATAAACTATTTTTCGCAATGTTATTGAAAAAAAAACGATTCTCGGACACATACTTCGGCAACGGGTCCACATCAGAGTTGTCAAAGAGCAAAGTAACAATGTTTCGAGATAATAATTACACAAATTGAATAAACGGAAGAATAAAATCAACAACAGTACTCATAAAAGTACGCACGATAAGTCCAATACGTTCCATAATTTACGTATAGGTAGCGATTTCTTGCTTAATATGTTCAAAATAGCATTATCTTACCCAAAACTTTTGTCTGAATCTAAACGTTTTCGTTTACGAGGCCGGTATCCATTGCCGTAATGTGATTGGCTGCCTTAGGTCACGTGTCTGATTTTGACCAATCACGACCCTTATAGCAGACTGTAGCGATAACCAATATCTATCCAATAAAATCGCTTCTTACAACTGTGAAAATACTCTCGGCAAGGGCTCAGTGATGTTGTTGATGTTCAGAGCTTTCGAACGATACCCGACATCAAACGATTCGCCTCCCATGTTATTCATACGAAGCTTCGAAAACGGAGGTATTTTCCGTTGTTGTGTCATGTTACCGAGCGGAAAGCCACTGATGTCGGGAAATAGGCGACCATAGATATTATTTAAGAAATCTTTTATAATAATTTTCTGATTACGTAAAAATGAAAATATAAACGAAAAAGCCACGGGCATGTTATGACATGTCACAAATGGAAAAAAATCGCCATAGTTTTTGCTTCTTTCGTGGTTTATCTGGACATTATAAATGTGAGCTTGCATTTTCATTACAAAAATACATCTATTTAAGTTGTAGTTGTATTATTTGAATAACATTATAAAAATAAACTTCATATTTATCAACAGTGGGATTAGATCTTTTAAATGGTGTATGAGACGTAGTAGCAATAACGTTTTACAAGCTTATAATTTCCTTCATAAACATGGGCTTCATCTGTGACCCTGAGTCTCTGGGAACTCGGTGTCATGGCAGTAAATGCCTCTGGTTGACTGGTGTTGAAAGAGTTAAAGATGCATTTGCTGTGTGCAATTTGCTGGTGTTGTGCTTTAACCGTTGTTTCACGTGTTCTATATATTGTACATCCTGGAACAACCAGAATATATATACAAGACATGGTCTAAAAACATCACATTCTTCCCATGTATTTCTACCTGTGGAGTCTAAATAAAACATGCACATTTGAAAAAAATATGATATGTAAATAAATTGACAAAAATTTACCGGTACCAGTACATGGACAACTAATATCTTGACGTCATTATTCGCAATTATCACGATGAAAGATTGTCAATCAGACTGTCAAGATTGTTACGTAGCATTCTCGATTCCCGATCTGATTCCCGTACAATACACTGACGGTGTTGCAGAGGGGAATGTAGGTAGAATATCAAGCTTTCCTGACCGTTTAACGTTCTTGTCAAAGCACATGTCCGGGGTCTATCCAATGAATCCGTAATGTGAGAATCGGCCCAAGCATTTCGTTACCTTTCACCCAAATCATCGATGATTTATCATTTTTCCAAATGAAGAATGTTTCCATGAACACGTTAAAGGTATTTACTGTCACATGACCAGCCCCTTGTACATATCAATATAAAGATGATATTACATATTTTACACAGCTTTCCGAAATATTCTGACAGATGTGCTGTACGAAAGGTACATCTTAAAGATTTGTCGCCAGTTTGGCATACAAATGATAGATTTTTCTAAAATTACAATTGTAACATACATTCGTTTAAAGGACACGTGGCCAAATAACAAGTACCAATTATACCTTCATCCATCGTTATTTGTCAACTAACAAACATCAAACTTCCTTCTATGATGGAAACCAGTGTTTCAAAATGAAAAACCGAACTCGTGTGATGAGAATGACGAAGGGCTCTTTGTGTCATTGACAGACAATCAGTAAACGTACAGCAAACAAACAAAAATACACCTCAACATCAACAACCCTGTTATTGTGAAACACGAACTCTGGTGGATATTCCGTGCTTAATCGAAGTCCTATACGAGACATTCAATAACAGTTACCTCATCCATTGATTCGTCTTGTGAGTCCATTTTGGATAATTATTTCGCAAGATTGTCGCAATAAGGGTTCAACGTTTTACAGAACATAACATCTTTGACATTTGTGTTACGTTATGCCTACCTAACAGTTCATTCCATAAACTGGAAATATACATGATGTATCTGCGATGTGTTGCATGATTGAGTTGGGAGATTCAGGGATTGACCTACCTGGTTATCTCCCCTTGATGACGACCCAGTTCCCTTCTTCAACAGCATGACCAGCTGAGAGCGGAGGATGATGCCATTAAACTTCATGGGTAGGACTTTGCCGACCATCTCGTACATACTGAAACGCATACACAGATGTCTCTCGCACTTCACAAACACATGTCAACACGGGGTTTATCATGGAACTGTCTGTTCTGGTGGAATCGTCTACATGTTAGGATTAACGTAGGATTAAATTTGATTTCGTCCAAATTGTGACACCAATTATTGATATTGGTGCATCAAAGAATTGACATAAAAAATCCAAAAAACCTGAAATGACAACTGTGCTTGTATTAAGATCAAGGTCACATGACTGGACAAAAATAGTTTCCGGTCAAGTAGGTTGAGGATAACATTTGTTTAAACTGGAGCAAGAAGTTAGGTCGTTTTCGTATAGGTATTCTTGTAGCGAGAGGGTGTCACTTTGGAGTGTTGTAAGGAGCCTTGAAATATGCTTATATTTGGATCCACATGACGGGGCACGATCACCAATCATCCGAAAAGATCGTACCTTGCCTTTTCTCCAAAGGTCTGATTTCAAGAACAGCAACTGTCATATCAATGACATTATTTTTAAATAATATTAGAGAAACAGTTTCTAAAAACGTTCCTCTCCGCTCGCCATAGACTTGCCGAGTCTGTATATGAATATATCAGAGTTCTCGCTGGTACATTGTTTTTGTACATGAGACACAGAACTGGGACCTGTCTTTATGAGGAGGTGTCTGACCGAATTCCTGAAGTGTTAAGCGCCTTGCGTGTGTTCTGCTCATATACTTGCAACTCAGTAGTATGTTTGCTTCCTACCTCTAGTTAGTGGAACTTGCTAATTACGAGTTCGCCTTGACATGACGGTGAGTTGTAATAATGGTTGCCTACAACGCGTCTTGGAATAGCTACACACGCATCTTGTCGTGACGAGATCTCACCTTCATTTCAATATTCTCAGACAGAATAAACTTAAAAAAGAGAAATGGTTCAATTTATTTTTTCACTGACGGTGTAAGCTATAAAAAGACAAAAGTTTCAACACTATGTGAGGATGATATATTGACTCCATTGCTATGACCGTCGGCTACCGAAGCCATTTTAACTTGGCGTTGTTCGCGATTCGTTTATGTAGCATTTCATAAATTCAACCGCGTTGAATATAAGCTATTATCCTTCAGACATGCTCAAGCCCCATTATACGATGAACGGAGTGCAGTGTGTGGTATACCCAGTGCTCATGTGTATGACGTATAGAAGAAGCGTTACAAGTTTGTTTGTTGTTTAACGGCGCATTCAGCAATATTCCGGCTATATTCTGGCCTTTAAATAATCGTCTGGATCAGACAATCCAGTGATCAATATCATGAACATCGCTCTACGCAATTGGGATACGATGACATTTGTCAACCAAGTCAGCAAGCCTGACCACCCGATCCCGTTAGACACCTCTTACGACAAGCATGGGTAACTGAAGGATCCCGGATCTTCACGGGTGCGTTACATGTAGAATAATAAAGTGATGTATTTGAAATACAGTAAGAAATTGTTTTTATATTTGCTAATTATATGGTATACCATCACCATCACCACTAAATGTTGCATATAGAAAGCATTAGTTATCACACATACATGTAATTGTTACCAGACGGCTGAATACACGACTGTTGCAGAGAATTAATACGACAAAGTGGAGCTGCTGTTGGTCTGAACTACTGAAGCAAGTATATGTGATGATCGTGTTCACAAACAATCTGTCTCAGACAACACATACTGGGTATTTTGTTCAATTTAATCAATTCAGAAAATACGTTCACAAGAAAGGGTTATATTTCACTGTCACATGATATGAACATCAGCTTAAAAAGAAAATACACAATCCAACATAATATCGTTACAAACGAAAGTAAACATTTTCACAGGAGGCAACTGACAAGAGTCGGTTTATGACTGAAAATAGAAACCAAATGTTGAAATGGGTCTGTTTAAAGACAAAATTTGAATTTAAAACCTAACTAGAAGATGTGGACGTTGCGGTTACATCAGCGATTGCTACTGAACTATATCTATATCCCAGTATACGTATGCTGAGTCTAAGAAAATATAGAATTGTGATTCAAGCAAGCCCTATTGTAATTCACAGAGAGATCCAAAGAGGTGTTGGAACCTGAGTAAAATCTACACATGCTTCGAATAGCTTTTTCACTTCAGAAAAGGAAATTATTGCGGTTTAGGGACTGTGAGGCAGACTAGTATTCCAGCGAAACATGAAAATATGAATTATACATGGAGAATTTATTTCCATGCCAATATCTTCATAATGCGCGTGTATAAACACAACAGAATGACTCATTTTCGTCCTGAGAGATTTGTATGAGTTTGGTCTAAATTTGAAGAACCCGAAACCACCTATAGTTTCTACACAAGACACTGACTTCTATGTGAAACATCTTGTAGTAGCTTCATGTCTCAAATGTTGTGGTAGAACTTTATACAATCAACTATCGACTGTCTGATTGTTCACATTGCAGTCGTCAGTAGATTCAGATACTCGCAGATGTAAAACTGTAGTGACAACGATCGCGGTGTACCCACCACCTGCCTCCCGTGACACGTCATTACTTCCCGACAACAGCGACGGAAACGTTCAACACTGAAATCACCGACACTCATCAATCACAAGTGGTGTGTGTGTTTCATCTTATATTTCACTCCGAGTAAGTGCTATTGAATTACTACAGCATTCGCCTAGCCTCCTTAATTTCTGAAGCGTGTATTTCCATATGTGAATAAACATCATTGAGGCTGTTAGACACCTTGACAGAAAGCACTAATATGCTGCACCGTTGATTTAGAGAAGGCACATGCATTAACGACATCTCGACGTGGACGTCTGCAGGCATGTATGGCAGTGGAGTTGTGCAAGGTAAAACAAAGCAAATTACGTACGATTTCTAAATAGAACTGCATTGTTTTAAGTGATCGAAGGACACCGTACGAAAAACGATAAGAAGACACCATAAACTGCAATCACGCGAAATTTACATCTCCGTTTATCGCCCAGTGAACGCGTTAGTTCACCGGTGGGAATACACATCTGAGGAACTAATCTGGCATGGAGCTATCAATTAGACTCGGACTGATTAAAACAGATACGGATTGTCGCTCATGATCACTTTGCGTTGTGTGAGTGGTACGTAAATGGTCTTTGAAAATGATTTAATCGCATGGAATTATCACAAGGCCCTAAATTCCTCCAAACTGGACAACAGAAAAAAATTCTGTCATAACCACAAATCTGGAATTGAACTTTCTTGACAAAGCTTAACAATGAATTGAAGTCACCTAAAGGTGTAATGGTCAAGCATAATAATCGCACAATAATTCTGCTTTAAATCGTTAAACGGTGGTGGACATACTTGTTTTGCGGTCCGTCTTCAGGCTGAATTAGAAAGCCGTTCCCATCAGCATCCTGCAACAAGAGAAAGACTGTCTAACTGTCCTCTGTGTATGACCAGTGGTTATTTCAGTGATCTCGTCGTTATTTAGAAATATTCAAATGCCTAAACATTTTATAAACTCAGAGTTGAACATAAATATATGTTTGGGTTCATAATTCCAAACCAGACCAGACCTACCAGGAGAAAGTGATGATAGCTTACACTGTTTGGACGTCCTTTCACAGCAACTCAAACAGCATTTGCTCTGTATCTGTGTATGTTAATTACACTCAAACTTTCACCATAAAATAGCATTTATAATCTTCTGTCTATACTTGGGTCGTATATTGTTATTCCAAGAAAAGTCACCAGGAACCAGACCAGTAAGAGTTGCTTTTATGAATACTTGTCTTCTAAGTCAAGCGGTATAGAGACTTAATAAAACCTGAAAACAAGCGCTAGAATACTGACTTGTTCAATGTTGGACTCTATATGTGCTCGGTCAGACGGACTTGGCATTGTCACCACCGGAAAGGCGTTGTGGACAGTAGTTTTGAGAATTCTTATTAATGTTGATACTCTAGTGTGTGTGAAAATCACGGACAACTTTGTGCTCATTACATCTTTAGCTTTTAATCTGGAATAGAGAAACACAATACAAGGTCAAGTATAAATACACCTTAATGAAAAACAGAATACTGAATGAGGTCTTTTCGTGGACAAGGATAAACTTCTGAGGAAAAGAGTGTATAGATGTGTAGCTGTATGTATTGGAAATATATGCATGAGTACATTTTATGTCGGTTGAATACCTGTTGTTTGTTTAGCCTTTGTATCGGAACTGCATGACGTATTTCTCCTTCAGGGATTATCAATACAAATGCAGTACTTTATTGGAATGACTTCAAGGTCGTATATGTGTGTAGTTGATGCCGGTTGAATACCAGTGTATCGGAACTGCATGACGTACTTCTCCTTCAGGGTTATATTTATCAATATGAACCGAACACCTTATCGGAATGACTTACGTGTGTTTATGAACAAACTGTCATGATACATGTTGAATATGTATTATGTACCTATTCTGTTCATCGGAGCGCGTGCTAGGTACGTTATCAAACTACTTCAAGAGACTGTACCTGTGTCTGGTCTTCCCCAGGCCCTACCTGTATGACTCTGTGGGTGCCTCCCACTCCAGGAGAGGAACCCCACGTAGTTTGATGTGGATGTCGTACAAGCCTTCGTTGAACAGATCCCCCGACCATTTGGCGACCTGAATAGAAGGTCAGGAACAAGCACTAGAATTAGTAAATCGTTAGTGGCTAAACGTCGGGTGAACAGAACACACAGAACATATATACATCCAAATGTCTGTTATCTGTTGTGGTTATCTCTCATCGACAGTGTCCTATGGGATCAGCTACTCGCATGTTTGACAGGACTGTTTGTTTCTGTAGAAAAACGTGTGTAAGTGTGAATCCAGCTATACCACTGATCTGGTAGGTACTTGCGAATAGTGTATATATCTAGATATAGTAATTGACTAGATGAAGAAACCAATTAATGTATCGTTCTATTACCCCTGTTCAAGAATACCATGCATGTCCACTACTTGCCTGGTGTTACGTCCCATAAGGATCAAGTCAGCAACTAATGATCACATGTCATTACATATATGTCACGGTCATCAATTTAATTCTATATTGCATTCACGATCGTAGCACAAATGAAAGAACCAAACAGACCAAATCCATTAGAATCTTATGAATTGCTGATAAACTATTGTTAGCTTAATGGTTCTAAAGTATTCTAAGACCTCTCTAGCGCCCATCGTAAACAAAGGCGAGCAAAACCTTTTGGTCCATAGTCATAAGAAATCCCTGCCAAAGTAAAGAGAGTGAGGGAGTTGTACCTTTGATGTTAAGACTCTTGTCCGTAATCCAGTAGTTATCCAGCACAGAATCTAGCAAAAATGTCCTTAAACTAACAGCTGAACAGTGGTAGAAAATAGAGCCAAACTCCAGTCTTTATGACACTGGTGATAACTGATTGATTGATAGGGGACAACGCGATTTAATGTGCTCTGATGTATACATTAAAGAAGACTGAGAGGACAGCGTAAATATGGATAAATTACCATAAGTGTTATCATGAGAGGCATTCCATAGCTGATCTCATTGGTTGACTCTATCAAGATAACGGTGAGACTTATAGTCATTCGTACAACGCCACCAAGAAACGACGCAGCTCCGATTAAAGCGAACGTACCAGAGTAGATAGTTTTATATCCTATATAACTGAAAGTAGAATTTAAAAAGGCATATTAAACAGCATATCGAACATATAAAGAGGGAAACAAAATAAAAAAATCTACGGTTAAAAATGTCAAGATAATTTATGTTCGTAGATGCTACGCTCTTAGATTATCATCAGTTCAGTATGAAGCTATTAGCGTTAACTCACTGGTAAAAGTATACCGTTGAATTGGATATGTTTGATATTAGTGCACTTTGACTATTGCTAGTGTATCTACAATAATGTTTTAAAAAGACGAGATATTTTAAAGATCACACATTTGGCTAATGATCAAAGGAAAGTCACAAACCAAGTATGAACTTTCATATTTCTTCAAATGTCAAAATCTTACTTTTCGAGAAGGTTTCCTACAATCCTTCCATACGATGCCCCACACAGCAAACAGGGAACGAACAATCCGCTAGGAACAGTGACGCCGTATGTCCAACATGCCAACATGAAGAAACAGATAAAGAAGATCCAAAGAGATGGCATGCTGAACCTTCCTGAAACAACAACACGCCAACATATAGAATCAGGTGATACAGATCTACATGGACGGTATGCTGAACCTTCCTGAAACAACAACACGCCAACATGTAGAATCCGTTGATACAGATCTACATGGACGGTATGCTGAACCTTCCTGAAACAACAACACGCCAACATGTAGAATCCGTTGATACAGATCTACATGGACGGCATGCCGAACCTTCCTGAAACAACAACACGCCAACATGTAGAATCCGTTGATACAGATCTACATGGACGGTATGCTGAACCTTCCTGAAACAACAACACGCCAACATGTAGAATCCGTTGATACAGATCTACATGGACGGTATGCTGAACCTTCCTGAAACAACAACACGCCAACATGTAGAATCAGATCTGATGGACGGTATGCCGAACCTCTACAACAACACGGATGTAGAATCAGGTGATACAGATCTACATGGACGGCATGAACCTTCCTGAAACAACAACACGCCAACATGTAGAATCCGTTGATACAGATCTACATGGACGGTATGCTGAACCTTCCTGAAACAACAACGCCAACATGTAGAATCCGTTGATACAGATCTACATGGACGGTATGCCTTCCTGAAACAACAACGCCAACATGTAGAATCAGTTGATACAGATCTACATGGACGGTATGCCGAACCTTCCTGAAACAACAACACGCCAACATGTAGAATCATGTGATACAGATCTACATGGACGGTATGATGAACCTTCCTGAAACAACAACACGCCAACATGTAGAATCAGGTGATAAAGATCTATATGGACGGTATGTTGAACCTTTCTGAAACAACAACACGCCAACATATAGAATCAGGTGATACAGATCTACATGGACGGCATGCTGAACCTTCCTGAAACAACAACACGCCAACATGTAGAATCCGTTGATACAGATCTACATGGACGGTATGATGAACCTTCCTGAAACAACAACACGCCAACATGTAGAATCCGTTGATACAGATCTACATGGACGGTATGCTGAACCTTCCTGAAACAACAACACGCCAACATGTAGAATCAGGTGGTACAGATCTACATGGACGGTATGCTGAACCTTCCTGAAACAACAACACGCCAACATGTAGAATCCGTTGATACAGATCTACATGGACGGTATGCTGAACCTTCCTGAAACAACAACACGCCAACATGTAGAATCAGGTGATACAGATCTACATGGACGGTATGCTGAACCTTCCTGAAACAACAACACGCCAACATATAGAATCAGGTGGTACAGATCTACATGGACGGTATGCTGAACCTTCCTGAAACAACAACACGCCAACATGTAGAATCAGGTGATACAGATCTACATGGACGGTATGCTGAACCTTCCTGAAACAACAACACGCCAACATGTAGAATCAGGTGGTACAGATCTACATGGACGGTATGCTGAACCTTCCTGAAACAACAACACGCCAACATGTAGAATCCGTTGATACAGATCTACATGGACGGTATGCTGAACCTTCCTGAAACAACAACACGCCAACATGTAGAATCCGTTGATACAGATCTACATGGACGGTATGCTGAACCTTCCTGAAACAACAACACGCCAACATGTAGAATCAGGTGGTACAGATCTACATGGACGGTATGCTGAACCTTCCTGAAACAACAACACGCCAACATGTAGAATCAGGTGATACAGATCTACATGGACGGTATGCCGAACCTTCCTGAAACAACAACAAGCCAACATGTAGAATCCGTTGATACAGATCTACATGGACGGTATGCTGAACCTTCCTGAAACAACAACACGCCAACATATAGAATCAGGTGGTACAGATCTACATGGACGGTATGCTGAACCTTCCTGAAACAACAACACGCCAACATGTAGAATCCGTTGATACAGATCTACATGGACGGCATGCCGAACCTTCCTGAAACAACAACAAGCCAACATGTAGAATCCGTTGATACAGATCTACATGGACGGTATGCTGAACCTTCCTGAAACAACAACACGCCAACATGTAGAATCAGGTGATAAAGATCTACATGGACGGTATGCTGAACCTTCCTGAAACAACAACACGCCAACATGTAGAATCAGGTGATACATATCTACATGGACGGCATGCTGACCTTCCTGAAACAACAACATAAAGTTGCAGGTGTGTTGCAGACTGTCAAACAGTGAGTGTTTTGACTCTTTCTTCTGCTAATTTCCAGCATGACAATATCTGAATGCGTTCGGCTTGATTCCTACGCCGCAACACAGGTCATGCATAAAAAATGAGTGAAATCAGTCAAATGATAATTATATAATGATGGTTGACAATGCCATAGAAAGCAAATGGTATACAAGGATGAAGCTTCCTTACGGTGACAAAATCAGGAAAGTCACATGTGGTATTAACATGACTCTTCTATGTGTAAGAGTGTATACAAATCCGAATTGTACCAATGCGAATACCATTTTGAATATCCTAAGGTCTTACGGTGGAAAGCAATATTCCCTACAATAGCATTACATTACACACTATACTGAGGCCAGGAAACATGGCAGTGGAACATGAAGCTGGACTTTAAAGTCTCCATGATGTCCCCAACTTGAACGGTAATCGACGCTTAAAAAGCGATGGAAACTTTTGTGTAAACAAAATTGGCCTTTCTTTTGTGCAAAAATCGTGAATCTGATAGATCCGTGAAGGCTGTCAGCTACGTCATGGAATTAAACTGTACAAGATACAGGGCGAGTAGGCAATATAGAGATCATGATTGTCACAAAAACCTCCAGGTTTTACATTTATTAAAGACACATCGTGCAAAAATTCTTGACTGTCAGTTTGTCAGCTCAGACAATTCAACGAAAGAAACCCAATGAGCGTAATTGAAATCACGATCAGCAGATCTAGAATTAGCAGTTAGTTAATAATCTTATGACAAGACTTTGCCGCTGGCAAGATTCGTAGCCGGCAAAACATCAGGAGGCAGCGTTCGGTAAGACGACATGAGAAAAAAAATCGTTTGAACATTTCTACCTTTAGATTACTGATGCAGTATGTGTGCAATAATGCAGTATAATCGTATATATACCTACAACACTATCGTGTAACTGGTGCAGTGTTGGTGTAGTACTGCTGTTGCAGTGTTGGTGTAGTACTGCTGTTGCAGTGTTGGTGTGTTGGTGTCGCAGTATTGGTGTATTGCTGTTACAGTATTGGTGTATTGCTGTTACAGTATTGGTGTATTGATGTTGCAGTGTTGGTGTATTGCTGTTAAAGTGTTGGTGTATTGCTGTTACAGTATTAGTGTATTGCTGTTACGGTAATAGTGTACTCCTGTTGCAGTATTGGTGTATTGCTGTTACAGTATTGGTTTATTGCTGTTACAGTATTGGTGTACTGCTGTTACGGTAATGGTGTATTTCTGTTACGGTAATGGTGTACTGTTGTTACATTGTTGGTGTATTGCTGTTACGGTAATGGTGTACTGCTGTTACGGTTATGGTGTACTGCTGTTACGGTAATGGTGTACTGCCGTTACAGTGTTGGTGTATTGCTGTTACGTTAATGGTGTACTGCTGTTACAGTATTAGTGTATTGCTGTTACAGTATTGGTGTATTGCTGTTACGGTAATGGTGTAGTGCTGTTACGGTAATGGCGTACTGCTGTTACGGTAATGGTGTATTGCTGTTACGGTAATGGTGCACTGCTCTTACGGTTATGGTGTATTGCTGTTACGGTAATGGTGTACTGCTGTTACGGCAATGGTGTATTGCTGTTATGGTGCTGTTACAGTATTGTATTGGTGTATTGCTGTTACAGTATTGGTGTATTGCTGTTACGGTAATGGTGTACTGCTGTTACAGTTTTGGTGTCTTGCTGTTACGGTAATGGTGTATTGCTGTTGCGGTAATGGTGTATTGCTGTTACAGTTTTAGTGTATTGCTGTTGTAGTATTGGTGTATTGCTTTTACGGTAATGGTGTATTGCTGTTACGGTAATGGTGCACTGCTGTTACGGTAATGGTGTATTACTGTTACGGTAATGGTGAACTGCTGTTACGGTAATGGTGTATTGCTGTTACAGTATTGGTGTATTGCTGTTACGGTAATGGTGTACTGCTGTTGCAGTATTGGTGTATTGCTGTTGCAGTATTGGTGTTACTGTTACAGTATTGTTGTATTGCTATTGCAGTAATGGTGTACTGCTGTTACAGTTTTGGTGTATTGCTGTTACGGTAATGGTGTTCTGCTGTTGCGGTAATGGTGTATTGCTGTTACGGTAATGGTGTACTGCTGTTGCAGTATTGGTGTATTGCTGTTACGGTATATCAGTAATGGTGTATTGCTGTTACAGTAATGGTGTACTGCTGTCACGGTAATGGTGTATTGCTGTTACAGTATTGGTGTATGCTGTTACGGTAATGGTGTATTGCTGTTACAGTGTTGGTGTATTGCTGTTACGGTAATGGTGCACTGCTGTTACGGTTATGGTGTACTGCTGTTACGATTATGGTGTACTGCTGTTGCGGTAATGGTGTATTGCTGTTACGGTAATGTTGTGCTGCTGTTACAGTAATGGTGTACTGCTGTTACGGTAATGGTGTATTGCTGTTACGGTAATGTTGTACTGCTGTTACAGCATTAGTGTATTGCTGTTACGGTAATGGTGTATTGCTGTTACGGTAATGGTGTATTGCTGTTACGGTAATGGTGTACTGCTGTTACGGTAATGGTGTACTGCTGTTACGGTAATGGTGTACTGCCGTGACAGTGTTGGTGTATTGCTGTTACGGTAATGGTGTACTGCTGTTACAGCATTAGTGTACTGCTGTTACGGTAATGGTGTACTACTGTTACAGCATTAGTGTATTGCTGTTACGGTAATGTTGTACTGCTGTTACAGCATTAGTGTATTGCTGTTACGGTAATGGTGTATTGCTTTTACGGTAATGTTGTACTGCTGTTACGGTAATGGTGTACTGCTGTTACGGTAATGGTGTACTGCCGTGACAGTGTTGGTGTATTGCTGTTACGGTAATGGTGTACTGCTGTTACAGCATTAGTGTATTGCTGTTACGGTAATGGTGTATTGGTGTTACGGTAATGGTGTATTGCTGTGAGGGTAATGGTGTAATGCTGTTACAGTAATGGCGTACTGCTGTTACGGTAATGGTGTATTGCTGTTACAGTATTGGTGTATTGCTGTTACGGTAATGGTGTATTATTGTTACAGTATTGATGTATTGCTGTTACGGTAATGGTGTACTGCTGTTGAAATATTGGTGTATTGCTGTTGCTGTATTGGTGTTACTGTTACGGTAATGGTGTATTGCTGTTGCAGTAATGGTGTACTGCTGTTACAGTATTGGTGTATTGATGTTGCAGTGTTGGTGTTACTGTTACAGTATTGGTGTATTGCTGTTACAGTATTGGTGTATTGCTGTTACAGTATCGGTGTATTGATGTTGCAGTGTTGGTGTATTGCTGTTACAGTGTTGGTGTATTGCTGTTGCCGTAATGGTGTACTGCTGTTGCAGTATTGGTGTATTGCTGTTACGGTAATGATGTATTGCCGTTGCAGTATTGGTGTATTGCTGTTGTAGTGTTGGTGTTTTGCTGTTGCAGTGTTGGTGTATTGCTGTTGCAGTGTTGGTGTATTACTGTTGCACTGTATTATATGCCGCCATCATGAACGACCTTCACCTTAATGTACCGCTAAATATTCTCACGCGAATGCTCGAATCTCTTCATATATAGTTACGTACGATTTGCTTCATTTTTAGAGTAATTTTAAGCCAAAGGGTGGCATAATACAATTATTATTCCTATTGTACGATATTAATGATACGGAAACACACTCGGTTATTAATCTCTATTTATTTGCTATAAAAGGACCCAACTGTAGCTATTAAAGAAACCAGTGCAAGTCGAAATGTAACTACACGAAAAGAAAAACGATATTGATTCCCGACCAGAAGTTACACACCGGCCCCTGTTTGGCTTTAATGCCGGGACAAGCACTTACTGGTCAAAGTGTGGCAGCTGGGTCTCAACAAATATTACCCATATTTTATATTGACAGCGACGTATCATTAATATCATACATTAGGAATAAAAATTGTATTATGCGAGTAAACACAATCACAGACTAAAACGTGACGGCTTGTAATCAGATGCTAATCAGATATTATTACGCTCGGTAACTTTGGGTCAATACACCCTTGTATTAGGAATAAACACAAAGTTGCTGACCAACTGGTATGATATATACATTGTAATATGCGAACGTTGGTCAGCAACTTTGTGTTTATTCCTAATACAAGGGTGTATTGACCAATAGCTAGCGAGCGTAATAATCTCTGTACCAGCATGAAACGTTATTCTGACATTCTATCATCACAGACGGCTCCTAAGCACTGGAAATCTTGGTACGCGCTGAATATAATGTATTAAAAGGCCAGTCCAGTCAATCGAATAATTTCAAGTTTTTTAATGAAATAAAGTAAACTGTGCCATATTCAAGAAAAGATCCAAGCTGCAGAGGCCTTCAAGTCCATATAGCATCTGATTACAAGCCGTCACGTTTTAGTCTGTGATTGTGTTTACTGCTACACGCGCCTACGTGCGTGCGTGTACATGCATTTACGTCAACAGATCTACTTAACTTAAAGTACCAACGACTACTTGAGAAAGTAAGGAGAAGACTTTATATAGTATTTTTTAGGAATTAGCTTTGAATTATCAAAGAGACAAACGGGCGAATGATTCATGAATGATATGTATGAAGGGACAAAAGAAACAAACTACGATTAAAACCGTTGTCTGATCTGTTCGAAAACTGTTGCCATAAAAGTTTGTGCAATTTGAACAAAGAACGGGATGCGTATTGAATCGGTTGGATGGGTTTTTACGCCGCATTCCACAATATCCCAGCTATATTGCGACGGTCTTCAAATAATCGAGTCTGGACCAGACATTCCAGTGGTCAACAGCATGAGCATCAATCTACGCAATGATGACATGTGTCAAGTAAGCGCGTCTGACCACCAAATCCTGTTGCTCGCACTTTACGACAAGCATGCATTGCTAAAGACCAAATTCTAACCCGGATCTTCACGGGTAATGTCTATTAAAAGCTATTGTAACCAAAATTTATTAATCAATTCATAATTAATCATCACAACCAATGCAGTCAGCTACGTTCAAGTGTATTCAATTTGTTCACCTCAAAGACGGTATAACTTTGGCCCCTTTTTTCATAAGACATTGGCAAATATTTCTACGTATTGTGATGCGTAACATTCCTTGTAACATTTGCTCGAAAAATAAGTTTGTATATTAGTATCAAATATATAGCTACAGTTTTCATACATATGCGAGTTAACGTAGATATACATACAGGAGCAAACCAAGCAGACTCACATATAGGTGCGACATGTTTGCCCACTCGCGAGGAAACCATATACAAATTCGAAAGGGACCCGGGCATTACACACAGTGGACAGATTTCACAGCCCCCTTTAAGCCCACGTGGGGTTCTTCTGACATTTGAAACGTGCAGTCAGAGACATTATTACCAGTCGAGGCCTAACTTCGTGTATTTGTGATGAATGTGAACTATATAAATACGCTGAGCTATTGAATATACAAGTATACATGTGCAGCGTAAGCTTAATGGGCAGTGTGAAATGCCATGTCCTTGTGATCAACATAAACCTCTCCCAGTACTTGACACCTGTTGCGCGTGTACCTGCTTGATGGAAAAGCTGTTTGATTGCAACTTCTTGTGAGTTAAAGAACAACGTCGCCATGTCGTTGTAGTAGCCGTCCTCGCAGAAGTAGGTCCTGACTGTAGACTCCACGTTCTCTGTTAGCGATACATTCAGATGGTCCCCAACCTGTAAACACGTGTATATCTAAGTATGATTCTTGTAATACAATTCGTCTCCAGTATCACTCTAGCACCGGTAAAACTAAACTCAACTCAAGCAACGGAAGTATTCTGTAGTACTGACCGGACAACACATCTACTCTAAAGTATCGCCTTGGCAAACACAAGTACTCTCCAGTACTATGTGGACAACACAAGTACTCTACAATGATAAATGGGCAACACAGGTACAACACAGGTACTCAGGACACTCTACAGTACTAATTGGGCAACACAGGTACTCTACAGTACTAATTGGGCAACACAGGTACTCTACAGTACTAATTGGGCAACACAGGTACTCTACAATACTAATTGGGCAACACAGGTACTCTACAGTACTAACTGGGCAACACAGGTACTCTCTACAGTACTAACTGGGCAACACAAGTACTCTACAGTACTAACTGGGCAACACAGGTACTCTACAGTACTAAACTGGGCAACACAGGTACTCTACAGTACTAACTGGGCAACACAGGTACTCTACAGTACTAACTGGGCAACACAGAGTACTCTTCAGTACTAACTGGGCAACACAGGTACTCTACAGTACTAACTGGGCAACACACAGGTACTCTACAGTACTAACTGGGCAACACAGGTACTCTACAGTACTAACTGGGCAACACAGGTACTCTCACAGTACTAACTGGGCAACACAGGTACTCTACAGCACTAACTGGGCAACACAGGTACTCTACAGTACTAACTGGGCAACACAGGTACTCTTCAGCACTAACTGGGCAACACAGGTACTCTTCAGTACTAACTGGGCAAACACAGGTACTCTACAGTACTAACTGGGCAACACAGGTACTCTACAGTACTAACTGGGCAACAGGTACAGGTACTCTACAACACAGGTACTCTACAGTACTAACTGGACAACACAGGTACTCTACAGTACTAACTGGGCAACACAGGTACTCTTAGCACTAACTGGGAAACACAGGTACTCTCCAGTACTAATTGGGCAACACAGGTACTCTCCAGTACTAACTGGGCAACACAGGTACTCTTCCAGTACTAACTGCGCAACACAGGTACTCTACAGTACTAACTGGGCAACACAGGTACTCTTCAGTAGTAACTGGGCAACACAGGTACTCTTCAGTACTAACTGGGCAACACAGGTACTCTACAGTACTAACTCGAGCAACACAGGTACTCTACAGTACTAACTGAGCAACACAGGTACTCTTCAGTACTAACTGGGCAACACAGGTACTCTACAGTACTAACTGGGCAACACAGGTACTCGCCAGTACTAACTGGGCAACACAGGTACTCTCCAGCACTAACTGGGCAACACAGGTACTCTTGTACTAACTACACAATTACTCTCCAGTACTAACTGGGCAACACAGGTACTCTCAGCAGTACTAACTGGGCAACACAGGTACTCAACAGTACTAACTGGAAAAGCCAGGGTACTCTGCAGTACTAACTGGACAACACAGGTACTCTACAGTACTAACTTGGGCAACACAGGTACTCTCCAGTACTAACTGGGCAACACAGGTACTCTACAGCACTAATGGGCAACACAGGTACTCTCCAGTACTAACTGGGCAACACAGGTACTCTACAGTACTAACTGGGCAACACAGGTACTCTACAGTACTATCTGGGCAAAACAGGTACGTTACGGGGCAAATTGGACAACACAGGTACTCTACAGTAATAAACGGGCAACACAGGTACTCTACAGTACTATCTGGGCAACACATGTACTCTACAGTACTAATTGGGCAACACAAGTACTCTACAGTAGTAACTGGGTAACACAGAGACTCTTCAGTACTAACTGGGCAACACAGGTCCTCTACAGTAGTAACTGGGCAACACAGGTACTCTACAATACAAACTTAGCAACACAGGTACCCTTCAGTACTAACTGGGCAACACAAGTACTCTTCAGGACTAACTGGGCAACACAGGCACTCTCCAGCACTAACTGGGCAACACAGGTACTCAACAGTACTAACTGGGGAACACAGGTACTCTTCGGTACTAATTGAGGAACACAGCTCCTCTCCAGTACTAACTTCGCAACAAAGGTACTCTCCAGTACTAACTGCGCAACACAGGTACTCTTCAGTACTAACTACGCAACACAAGTACTCTACAGTAGAAACTGGGCAACACAGGTACTCTTCAGTACAAGTTGGGCAACACAGGTCCTCTACAGAAGTAACCGGGCAACAAAGGTACTTTACAGTACTAACTGTCAACACAGGTACTCTACAGTACTAATCGAGCAACAAAGGTACTCTACAGTACTAACTGGGCAACACAGGTACTCTACAGTAGTAACCGGGCAACACAGGTACTCGCCAGCACTAACTGGGCAACACAGGTACTCTCCAGCACTAACTGGGCAACACAGGTACTCAACAGTACTAACTGGGCAACTCAGGTACTCTCCAATCCTAATTGGACAGCACAGGTACTCTCCAGCACTAACTGGACAACACAGGTACTCTATAGTACAAACTGGGCAACACACGTACTCTCCAGCACTAACTGGGCAACACAGGTACTCTATAGTACAAACTGGGCAACACACGTATTCTCCAGCACTAACTGGGCAACCCAGATACTATCTAGTACTTACTGGGCAACACAGATACTCTGCAGTACTTATTGGGCAACACAGCTACTCGCCAGAACTAACTGCGCAACACAGGTACGCTCCAGTACTAACTTGGCAACACAGGCACTCTCCAGCACTAACTGGGCAACACAGGTACTCAACAGTACTAACTGCGCAACACAGGTACTCTTCAGTACTAACTTCGCAACAAAGGTACTCCCCAGTACTAACTGCGCAACACAGGTACTCTTCAATACTAACTAACTATGCAACACAAGTACTCTACAGTAGAAACTGGGCAACACAGGGACTCTTCAGTACAAGTTGGGCAACACAGGTCCTCTACAGAAGTAACCGGGCAACAAAGGTACTTTACAGTACTAACTGTCAACACAGGTACTCTACAGTACTTATCGAGCAACAAAGGTACTCTTCAGTCCTAATTGAGCAACACAGGTACTCTACAGTACTAACTGGGCAACACAGGTACTCTACAGTAGTAACTCGGCAACACAGGTACTCGCCAGCACTAACTGGGCAACACCGGTACTCTCCAATCCTAATTGGACAGCACAGGTACTCTCCAGCACTAACTGGACAACACAGGTACTCTATAGTACAAACTGGGCAACACACGTACTCTGCAGTACTTATTGGGCAACACAGCTACTCGCCAGAACTAACTGCGCAACACAGGTACGCTCCAGTACTAACTTGGGAACACAGGTACTCTCAAGCACAAACTGGGCAACAGAGGTACTCTTCAGTACTAACTTGGCAACACAGGTACTCTCAAGCACAAACTGGGCAACAGAGGTACTCTTCAGTACTAACTGGGCAACACAGGTACTCTCCAGCACTAACTCGGCAACACAGATACTCTACAGTACTAATTATGCAACACAGGTACTCTTCAGTTCTAACTGGGCAACACAGGTACTCTTCAGTAATAACTGGACAACACAGGTACTTCCCCTTGCTAATTGGGCAACACAGGCACTGTACAGTAATAAAAGGGCAACACAAGTACTCTCCAGTACTAACTGGGCAACACAGGTACTCTTCAGTACTAACTTGGCAACACAGGTACTCTCCAGCATTAACTTGGCAACACCGGTACTCTCCAATCCTAATTGGACAGCACAGGTACTCTCCAGCACTAACTGGACAACACAGGTACTCTATAGTACAAACTGGGCAACACACGTACTCTGCAGTACTTATTGGGCAACACAGCTACTCGCCAGAACTAACTGCGCAACACAGGTACGCTCCAGTACTAACTTGGGAACACAGGTACTCTCAAGCACAAACTGGGCAACAGAGGTACTCTTCAGTACTAACTTGGCAACACAGGTACTCTCAAGCACAAACTGGGCAACAGAGGTACTCTTCAGTACTAACTGGGCAACACAGGTACTCTCCAGCACTAACTCGGCAACACAGATACTCTACAGTACTAATTATGCAACACAGGTACTCTTCAGTTCTAACTGGGCAACACAGGTACTCTTCAGTAATAACTGGACAACACAGGTACTTCCCCTTGCTAATTGGGCAACACAGGCACTGTACAGTAATAAAAGGGCAACACAAGTACTCTCCAGTACTAACTGGGCAACACAGGTACTCTTCAGTACTAACTTGGCAACACAGGTACTCTCCAGCATTAACTTGGCAACACAGGTACTCTTCAGTACTAACTTGGCAACACAGGTACTCTTCAGTACTAACTGGGTTACAGAGGTACTCTTCAATACTGTCTGGGCAACACAAGTACTCTTCAATACTTACTGGGCAACACAAGTACTCTACAATTCTAACTGGGAAACACAAGTACTCTACAGTAGCAACTGGGTAACACAGGGACTCTTCAGTACTAACTGGGCAACACAGGTACTCTACAGTACTAATTGAGCAACACAGGTACTCTTCAGTACTAATTGAGCAACACAGGTTCTCTACAGTACTAACTGGGCAACACCGGTACTATACAGTACTAACTGGGCAACACCGGTACTATACAGTAATAATTCAGCAACACAGGTACTCTTCATTACTAACTGGGTAACACAAGTACTCTACAGTAGTAACTGGGCAACACAGGGACTCTTCAGTACTAACTGGGCAACACAGGTATTCTACAGTACTAATTGAGCAACACAGGTACTCTTCAGTACTAACTGAGCAACACAAATACTCTACAGTACTAACTGGGCAACACCGGTACTATACAGTACTAATTCAGCAACACAGGTACTCTTCAATACTAACTGGGTAACACAAGTACTCTACAGTAGTAACTGGGCAACACAGGGACTCTTCAGTACTAACTGGGCAACACAGGTCCTCTACAGTAGTAACAGGGCAACACAGGTACCCTACAATACTAACTGGGCAACACATGTACTCTCCAGTACTAACTGGTCAATGCAAGTACTCTTCAGTAGTAACTTGGCAACACAGGTATTTTTCAGTAGTAACTGGGCAACACAAATGGTCCCGGGTATAAGCTGGGCAACACAAATACACTCTAACAGGACGGTAGTATCCCCAGCAACCTGGGGGCAAGAAATGTCGTATCTAGTATCAGTGTGGCAACCTAAGCCACGGAAGCAGTATCACATCAACGCACGTAACCTACAATATTGTCAACTGGCTTCCTATACACGTAAAATGGCCGTGTATTGTTTACGAAATCTAATTCACTCGCTCAGGCCGCAGCCTGAGGATTTTGATTTTCGTGTGCACTTTATTATTAGCATTCTCTTCCCACAGAGGTTACTTGTCATATCTTCCTACGAACCATTCTCTTCCCACAGAGATTACTTGTCATATCTTCCTACGAACCTCTGTTCTAATACGGCCCTTTCATTGTGCGAGTGTTCAGGATTCGTGATTGGTTGCAATCAGATTTAGTTGTGCAATCAGCGACGTTGTTTCAAAAGTGATCATTCGCAAGGCCTCGGTTATTTCCGTATGTTTCGAGAAAACTAAACCTCTTCCCCTGCGCGATGCGCAAACGTTTCTTCTAGACAGAACTCAGTCATGTTATGGCGGATCAGTGGCGTCTCCATCGTGACAACGGACACGCTAGCCATTAAACGTCTTGTGTGTAACATCAACACAAGTCCCCGGCAGATGGGGGATATTTGTGGCCCCACATTTGCTTGTGTTAGTCAAGTTGAATCTAGGTCGATGTAACACGTGTTCTGCTTGGATAGAAAGAAGGGAGATAATTCGTGTTGCGATCTTTTGCCGCTAGGGGATTTTACGAGAACCGGGAAATATGGCCGTATTAGAACAGAGGTTCGTAGGAAGATATGACAAGTAACCTCTGTGGGAAGAGAATGTAGTGTTAGTTGACGGTTTGTTTTTTTATTCGTGATTCAGATGCACAGTTTGGTGAAGGACATTTTAAGTTTGTTGACGAAGTGGAGGTAGATAGGTTGACATCTGCTTGGTTCGGGGCATGATCTACTATATACGTCACAGAACGGAAAGGTCTGTTTACAGATCACGGAGGATGGCAAACCATAAACGTTTAAATATTTTGTGCAATCTATGGCTGGTTGCCGGGTAACACTGGTCGCGGGTACACAAAAGTATACAATCATATCAATGTGGTAACTGATATCTGTCCCATCTGAGCTGTGAGCCAGCCTGTACAGTGGTAGCATGGGCGGTAATCTATTATGATCATCTTTGAGTGTACCGTCAGCAGCACGGCATGGAAAAATCAAGGCATTCAAGCTGTATGTGGGAAGGATAGTCCGAAGTGATGTTTTTTCCCTTTGCATCCTAGGTGCATGGCAAACCAAGACTCATGGCCAGGGCAAACCGATCGGGATGAACCGGGTATCGAAATCAGTCTGTATGCCTGGAGATCATAATCAGGAATTATCGAGGATCATAATCGGAGTAAACCAGGGTTCATAATTGGGACAAACCACGACTCTAATTCGAGACAAAATAAATGTGACCAAAAACACCGGATCATATCCGTGGCAAATCAATGATCATAGTCATGGCCCACAGGGCTCACAATCGGGACAGGCAGAGATCACAGTCGCCAGGGTTAACAATCGGGGCAGATCAGGGATCACAGTTGGGGCAGATCAGAGATGACAATCGGGGCAGATCAGGGATCACAGTCGCTAGGGTTAACAATCGGGACAGACAGGGATGACAATCGGGGCAGATCAGGGATGACAATTGGGGCAGATCAGGGATCACAGTCGCCAGGGTTAACACTCGGGGCAGATCAGGGATCACAGTTGGGGCAGATCAGAGATGACAATCGGGGCAGATCAGGGATCACAGTCGGGGCAGATCAGGGTAAACACTCAGGGCAGATCAGGGATGACAGTCGGGCAGATCAGGGATGACAGTCGGGGCAGACAGGGATGACAATCGGGGCAGATCAGGGATGACAATCGGGGCAGATCAGTGATCACATTCGGGGAACTCAAGGGATGATAGTCAGGGCAAATAAGGGATCACAGTTAGGGCACATCATGGACAATGAGGTGTAGTAGGATTGTGTCATGCTTAATTACATGGTGGGATTAACTATAAATTCTAGGAAAATAGATCGTCATACACGAGCATGCAACAGATTCACAACATATCTATGTTGCTGATGAACAATATTGAAATAGAGATTTGAACTTACAGTTAAAGGGCTGCACTCCCCAAGTGTCATGGCGGCAGTAAATGCAACCGTTGTTGTTACCATGGCAACCAAGGCAGCTTCAAGAATTCTAAATAGATGAGGCAGTTGTCAGACATGTGTCAGGCGGTGAGGAACAAAACACTTATGGAAATGTGTCCATGTAATTCAATTGCAATGCTGTCAAGATTTCTCACCATAGAGATTCAAAATGTCCCTTCAGGGAAACCACTACTGATAACAGCAAGACTTCAAGTATAGTTCAAATATCCTTTACAACATTTTGCATAAACGGTAGGGATATGTGAAAATATTGTCGGATACAACCAATGTCTGGCCAGGCCGTCTCGGATTTTACCGTCGACAACGTAGAAGTACACAGTTGATGCCTCGTCCAACCGTCTTCAGCATCGTAAAGAAGACAGATACTCTAACTGTCTCGTCAAACCGACTACCACTGTCTGAAGAGGACAGATATACCTAGGGTCTGATCAGGCCGACTATCACACTCTGAAGAAGACAGATACTCCTAATGTCTGATCAGGTCACTACCACGCTCTGAAGAAGACAGGTACTCTTAATGTCTGATCAGGCCGACTACCACACCCTGAAGAAGACAGATACTCCTAATGTCTGATCAGGTCGTGTACCACACTCTGAAGAAGACAGATGCTGTTAATGTCTGATCAGGCCGACTACCACATTCTGAAGAAGACAGGCACTCCTAATGTCTGATCAGGTCGTGTAGCAAGCTCTGAAGAAGACAGATACTCCTAATGTCTGATCAGGCCGACTACCACACTCTGAGGAAGACAGACGCTCCTAATGTCTGATCAGGTCCTGTACAACAATCTGAAGAAGACAGATACTCCTAATGTCTGATCAGGCCGACTACCACTCTCTGAAGAAGACAGAAACTGTAAATGTCTGATCAGGCCGACTACCACGCTCTGAAGAAGACAGACGCTCCTAATGTCTGATCAGGTCGTGTACCACACTCTGAAGAAGACAGATACTCCTAATGTCTGATCAGGCCGACTACCATACTCTGAAGAAGACATATCCTCCTAATGTCTGATCAGGTCGTGTACCACACTCTGAAGAAGACAGATACTGTTAATGTCTGATCAGGCCGACTACCACACTCTGAAGAAGACAGATACTCCTAATGTATGATCAGGCCGACTACCACGCTCTGAAGAAGACAGATACTCCTAATGTCTGATCAGGTCGTGTACCACACTCTGAAGAAGACAGATACTGTTAATGTCTGAGCAGGCCGACTACCACACTCTGAAGAAGACAGATACTCCTAATGTATGATCAGGCCGATTACCAGACTCTGAAGAAGACAGATACTCCTAATGTCTGATCAGGTCGTGTACCACACTCTGAAGAAGACAGATACTGTTAATGTCTGATCAGGCCGACTACCACACTCTGAAGAAGACAGATACTCTTAATGTCTGATCAGGTCGTGTACCACACTCTGAAGAAGACAGATACTCCTAATGTCTGATCAGGTCGTGTACCACACTCTGAAGAAGACAGATACTGTTAATGTCTGATCAGGCCGACTACCACACCCTGAAGAAGACAGATACTCTTAATGTCTGATCAGGTCGTGTACCACACTCTGAAGAAGACAGATACTCCTAATGTCTGATCAGGTCGTGTACCACACTCTGAAGAAGACAGATACTGTTAATGTCTGATCAGGCCGACTACCACCCTCTGGAGAAGACAGATACTCCTAATGTCTGATCAGGTCGTGTACCACACCCTGAAGAAGACAGATACTCCTAATGTCTGATCAGGTCGATTACCGCACCCTGAAGAAGACAGATACTCTTACTGTCTGATCAGGTCGTGTACCACACTCTGAAGAAGACAGATACTGTTAATGTCTGATCAGGCCGACTACCACACTCTGAAGAAGACAGATACTCCTAATGTATGATCAGGCCGATAACCAGACTCTGAAGAAGACAGATACTCCTAATGTCTGATCAGGTCGTGTACCACACTCTGAAGAAGACAGATACTGTTAATGTCTGATCAGGCCGACTACCACACTCTGAAGAAGACAGATACTCTTAATGTCTGATCAGGTCGTGTACCACACTCTGAAGAAGACAGATACTGTTAATGTCTGATCAGGCCGACTACCACCGTCTGGAGAAGACAGATACTCCTAATGTCTGATCAGGTCGTGTACCACAGCCTGAAGAAGACAGATACTCCTAATGTCTGATCAGGTCGATTACCGCACCCTGAAGAAGACAGATACTCTTAATGTCTGATCAGGCCTACTACCACACTCTGAAGAAGACAGATACTCCTAATGTCTGATCAGGCCGATTACCAGACTCTGAAGAAGACAGATACTCCTAATGTCTGATCAGGTCGACTACCACACCCTGAAGAAGACAGATACTGTTAATGTCTGATCAGGCCGATTACCACACCCTGAAGAAGACAGATACTGTTAATGTCTGATCAGGCCGATTACCACACCCTGAAGAAGACAGATACTGTTAATGTCTGATCAGGCCGATTACCACACCCTGAAGAAGACAGATACTGTTAATGTCTGATCAGGCCGATTACCACACTCTGAAGAAGACAGATACTGTAAATGTCTGAGCAGGCCGATTACCACACCCTGAAGAAGACAGATACTGTTAATGTCTGATCAGGCCGATTACCACACCCTGAAGAAGACAGATACTGTTAATGTCTGATCAGGCCGATTACCACACCCTGAAGAAGACAGATACTGTTAATGTCTGATCAGGCCGATTACCACACCCTGAAGAAGACAGATACTCTTAATGTCTGATCAGGTCGACTACCACACTCTGAAGAAGACAGATACTGTTAATGTCTGATCAGGTCGATTACCACACTCTGAAGAAGACAGATACTGTTAATGTCTGATCAGGCCGACTACCACCCTCTGGAGAAGACAGATACTCCTAATGTCTGATCAGGTCGTGTACCACACCCTGAAGAAGACAGATACTCCTAATGTCTGATCAGGTCGATTACCGCACCCTGAAGAAGACAGATACTCTTAATGTCTGATCAGGCCGACTACCACACTCTGAAGAAGACAGATACTCCTAATGTCTGATCAGGCCGATTACCAGACTCTGAAGAAGACAGATACTCCTAATGTCTGATCAGGTCGACTACCACACCCTGAAGAAGACAGATACTGTTAATGTCTGATCAGGCCGATTACCACACCCTGAAGAAGACAGATACTGTTAATGTCTGATCAGGCCGATTACCACACCCTGAAGAAGACAGATACTCCTAATGTCTGATCAGGCCGATTACCACACCCTGAAGAAGACAGATACTGTTAATGTCTGATCAGGCCGATTACCACACTCTGAAGAAGACAGATACTGTAAATGTCTGAGTCAGGCCGATTACCACACCCTGAAGAAGACAGATACTGTTAATGTCTGATCAGGCCGATTACCACACCCTGAAGAAGACAGATACTGTTAATGTCTGATCAGGCCGATTACCACACCCTGAAGAAGACAGATACTGTTAATGTCTGATCAGGCCGATTACCACACCCTGAAGAAGACAGATACTCTTAATGTCTGATCAGGTCGACTACCACACTCTGAAGAAGACAGATACTCTTAATGTCTGATCAGGTCGACTACCACACTCTGAAGAAGACAGATACTGTTAATGTCTGATCAGGTCGATTACCACACCCTGAAGAAGACAGATACTCTTAATGTCTGATCAGGTCGACTACCACACTCTGAAGAAGACAGATACTGTTAATGTCTGATCAGGTCGATTACCACACCCTGAAGAAGACAGATACTGTTAATGTCTGATCAGGTCGACTACCACACCCTGAAGAAGACAGATACTGTTAATGTCTGATCAGGCCGATTACCACACTCTGAAGAAGACAGATACTGTTAATGTCTGATCAGGCCGATTACCACACTCTGAAGAAGACAGATACTGTTAATGTCTGATCAGGCCGACTACCACACTCTGAAGAAGACAGATACTGTTAATGTCTGATCAGGCCGATTACCACACTCTGAAGAAGACAGATACTGTTAATGTCTGATCAGGCCGATTACCACACTCTGAAGAAGACAGATACTGTTAATGTCTGATCAGGCCGATTACCACACCCTGAAGAAGACAGATACTGTTAATGTCTGATCAGGCCGATTACCACACTCTGAAGAAGACAGATACTGTTAATGTCTGATCAGGCCGACTACCACACTCTGAAGAAGACAGATACTGTTAATGTCTGATCAGGCCGATTACCACACTCTGAAGAAGACAGATACTGTTAATGTCTGATCAGGCCGATTACCACACCCTGAAGAAGACAGATACTCTTAATGTCTGATCAGGCCGACTACCACACTCTGAAGAAGACAGATACTGTTAATGTCTGATCAGGCCGACTACCACACTCGGAAGAGGACAGATACTCTTAATGTCTGATCAGGTCACTACCACACTCTGAAGAAGACAGACACTGTTAATGTCTGATCAGGCCGATTACCACACCCTGAAGAAGACAGATACTCCTAATGTCTGATCAGGCCGATTACCACACCCTGAAGAAGACAGATACTGTTAATGTCTGATCAGGCCGATTACCACACTCTGAAGAAGACAGATACTGTAAATGTCTGATCAGGCCGATTACCACACCCTGAAGAAGACAGATACTGTTAATGTCTGATCAGGCCGATTACCACACCCTGAAGAAGACAGATACTGTTAATGTCTGATCAGGCCGATTACCACACCTGAAGAAGACAGATACTGTTAATGTCTGATCAGGCCGATTACCACACCCTGAAGAAGACAGATACTCTTAATGTCTGATCAGGTCGACTACCACACTCTGAAGAAGACAGATACTGTTAATGTCTGATCAGGCCGACTACCACACTCTGAAGAAGACAGATACTGTTAATGTCTGATCAGGCCGATTACCACACCCTGAAGAAGACAGATACTCTTAATGTCTGATCAGGTCGACTACCACACTCTGAAGAAGACAGATACTGTTAATGT